ATTAGAACTCGTATAGCCAAGATGAATAAATCGTTTTTGTTTTTAAAATAAAAACAATTAAAATGTTAAGTTAAAATAATACTCACTTTCTGGATCGAGTTTTAGTTTGTTCTCCAGCTCCTTATTCTCCTTTAGAAGCTGGGCCAGTTTGCTGGCTAAGCGCTCGTTCTCTTCTTCCAACTAAGACGCAGAAATTACAGGAAGCATGCATCAGTCATCAAATAGAAATATATTAAATATAATAAATAGATAAATAATTAGATATATAAATAGGTAAATAAATTAATAAACATAAACAGATAAATATGTATAAACTAATCCAAATAAACAAATGTGATATTAAATAAGATAAATAAGCAAATAAATACCGAAAAGTAAATAAAAGCTAAGCTATTGAAATGCTGTAAAATGAAACCAAAACCTGACTAAGCCACCAATACTCAACACCCACAAGAGCCTTCATTCCGCCCATCACAAGTTTTATTTACTTCTCCTTTGTGAGCAAATCTATCTGTCAGCACCATCCCAAAGGAAAAGCAAAGCAAACTGATGGGCTGAATGGATGCTACTCAGAGTTTTATTTATTTTTGCAATATTTCAATATTTTTCAATATTGGGGAAAATGTAATTACAAAATCCCGTTGATGCATTTGGTGGAATTGGAGGATGAAATAACAAGAAAAATATCTTAGAAAAATTAGTGCCACTGAAGAAAGCAGGGAGATTTCTGGAGAAATATGCACAATTTAAACTGAAAATGTGGTGCAGAGGCGAGAGCAGAACTGGAGATATTCTTGTTCTTGCTCCACCATACTGTACTTGCCTATCACTCTTGGGAAAAAAAACTTCAAGACAAACACAGTATTCAAACTTAATTCAGCAACAGCCATTTGTTTTCTGCCTGAGCTGTAATATCTTGCGTGACCATTATTGCTGGGATTGTTTTCTTACTATTTTCTGTCCACAGCAAAACCTTTTTGATGATCAGAATAAATGACAAAAAATCTATTACATTTAGAGAGCATGTGTGTATTGAGTATTTGAACAGAAAACATTTCTATGATAAGCTGAGTCATGATGGTGTGATTATTCAATCCATACAACACACTGAATCTTAATTACACAGGGTGGGTTTATGCAACAATCTGGACTTGTGTTTATTAACTAGTTTGTGGGACAGAATGTGATACCTATTCATTGTGGTGAGACACAATAAAAATGCTGCCCAACCCACACTGAATTATGGAAGTCTGGATGACCAATGATAGCCTATTATTAACTGAATGTAAAAAACAAAGAAACATACACAAAATTATAAAAGGGAGGGAAGAATAAAATAGAAGAAACATACAAGATGTGTATTTTCAGACAATAAATTGATGCCATAATTCATTGCAGACATCCATAGCTGACCTATAGTAAACAATTTTTTTGAGTCATGTTTGTCTTTGTGATGCTGAACAGTACATCTTTTGATTCTAAGTCCATTTTCTTTGTCCAAAAGTAAAAAAGAAAGTGTTAATTTCACTGCATTTTCAATTAACCTTGTAAAGTCTCAAGCTTCCTCCTTCTGTTTATATATTCAAGATGGACAGTATTTAATATTTGTTATGTATATGTAGGGTTGTGGGTCTATACATATGTTGTACATAGTATGTTTAGGTGTGTGTCATGTGTTTCTCTTTGAGAGTGGGCAACTAAATTTCATTTTTGAGGTGTGCCATTGTGCCCACAGTAAAAAAATGACAATAAAGGTTATCTTATCATTTGAAAACATTATGCTCGCTTGTGCCTCACTATGATGCAGTGACAGTCTGCCATGAGGAGGGGGAATGAAGGGAAGGGGTTGTTTAGGAGAAAACAGAAGTAGAAGCCACCTCAAGACCTCACTCAAAGGTCAACCAGCTGGGAGACTGAGGGAGTCAGAATGACCCTTATGGAAACATCTTGCAGGAACTTGATTGATGGGCAGCGAGACGCAGAGGGGAAAAGTAGAACTTAGTGATTTTGGTGTGCGAATCTCAGTTTTGGCTTTGTATTATTGCTTTACACTTGACCTCTAATAAAATTATACCTTTCTCAATAAATGGAGACAAGGATTGTTTTTTACTTAGCAGTTTAAGCTGTGACAGGCCTGACAGGATTCAAGAGCTGAGTGTGGTGCAATGGGTTGAGTGCCCATTACTTGCCCCTGCTTCTGCCAACCTAGCGGTTTGAAAGCATGCAAATGTGAGTAGATAAATAGGTACCACTTTGGTGGGAAGGTAACAGCACTCCATGCACTTGTCCTATAGTCATGCTAGCCACGGAAGAGGCTTCTGACAGCACTGGCTCCCTCAGTTAGGAAACGGAGATCACTTATCTAGCATGGGCATGTGCGAGGATGGCGGACCTACTGTTTTCGGCTCCGTAGTCTCCGCGGGGTCCTCGGCGGAGATGGGGGAGCCTTGAAAGGTCCGGGGGGTGCTCGCCGGCTGGAGTTGGAAGGAGGAGAGGGTCGGCGAGCGAAAAGGACGAGTTGGACCACCCGGTCGAAGCTGTGAGCCGTGAGGGGAGAGCGGAGCAGCCGA